CTCTGATCGGATGCAGATGATCCACTGCGACCGACAGCTGAGCAGAGAACGCCAACTCAAACCACAGGTCAGCAATTATCACTATTTCTTTGATTAATTTTTTTATTTCGATTTTTTTAGGGGGTTAGAAATGTTTGTATTTTTTGGGGATGGTTAGATATTTGTATTTATTTTTTGTGATTTGCGTTTTTTTTCAGGGCATAGGTTTTTAAAAATGTTTTGGGTAGTTAGACATTATTAGTGATTTGATATTTTTCTTTATATATTACGGATGAATGTGAGTTGTGGATCTGTGCGGAGCATCTGATGGTTGGATGAGGGGATTTTAAAGCTTCATTCAGGAGTTTTGTCTGTGTGTTTCAGGATAATAAAGTGAAGGGATCCCTCTCTGCCGCCACCAGAAAAGCTTTAGAACGCAAGAAACTCATGTGAGTGAATCTGCAAGAAACACTCATCACATCACATCACAATCAGTACATCACATCTAGTGGTTAAACGGATCGTAGTCGACATTTTTCATTTGTTCATATTTACACAAGCAAGCGAATTTTAAACAATTCCAGAGAGAAAAGGCGAAGGGAACTCGATTCGTTATTCACACACTGTTCTCTACACAGCCGCACACGCATTAAGCGTGCACACGCGTTTCAGACTGCGCGCAAACACTGAACTGAATCCTCTTCTGAATCCTCTGAACTGACACATGCACATAAAATTTACAAAATAACCATCTCGACAATCATTCAGGTAAGCGCAGTCAGTTATGTCTCAAGTGAATGAAAACAGCTGAGAAAGAAATCGAATGTGATGTGTATCATTATATCGGATCCGTGCATCAGGTCTTAAAGAGACAGCGGCCTATAAATACTGCTGCTGTCATTAATGATCATCAAACAACAAAACAGCTGGGATAAAAATCTATACAGTGAACACTATGCAGTGTTATTTTCCCTAATTATTACATTTCTGTATTTGAATGCTACCAACCTTTTTTTATTTGTAACATATTCTGTTATCTATGCTTGTAATTTGTGTATTTGTTCTTATTTTTACTGGCTGTTCTCTTGTCTCTTTAATCATGTTTAAACTTTCTTAGTTAATCTAGTAGTATTTGCTGTGGTATCAAAGAAGTGCTTCGCGTTAAGTAATAAATGGAAAGCAAGTTAAATTGAAATATTTTTATTTTCTTGCTGATCTGAAAAGTGATCCGATCCGTGGGTCAAAAACCATAACGTGATCCGAACCGTGAGATTTGTGATCCGTTGAACCATTAATCACATCAGTCAGTACATCACATCATCACATCAGTCAGCACATCACATCAGTCAGCACATCACATCAGTCAGCACATCACATCAGTCAGCACATCACATCAGTACATCACATTAGTACATAACATCACACTCAGTACATCACATCACATCAGTACATCACATCGCACTCAATACGTCACATCAGTCAGCACATCACATCATCACATCAGTCAGCACATCACATTAGTACATAACATCACACTCAGTACATCACATCACATCAGTACATCACATCGCACTCAATACGTCACAAGCTTTGGTGCATCACATCATCTTATCACAGTCAGTCAGCCAGCACATCACACTCAGTACATCACATCACATCAGTACATCACATCGCACTCAATACGTCACATCAGTCAGCACATCACATCATCACATCAGTACATCACATCACATCATCTTATCACAGTCAGTACATCACACTCAGTATGTCACATCATCACATCAGTCAGTTCATCACATCAGTACATCACATCACACTCAGTATGTCACATTATCCCATCACATTATCTTATCACAGTCAGTCAGCACAGCACATCACATCACATCAGTACATTACACTCAGTATGTCACATCAGTCAGTACATCACATTGCACTCAGTACATCACATCATCTTATCACAGTCAGTTCATCACATCACACTCGGTATGTCACATCATCACATCAGTCAGTACATCTCATCATCTTATCACAGTCAGTTCATCACATCAGTACATCACATCACACTCAGTATGTCACATTATCCCATCACATTATCTTATCACAGTCAGTCAGCACATCACATTCAGTATGTCACATCAGTCAGTACATCACATCAGGACATCACATCACACTCAGTATGTCACATTATCCCATCACATTATCTTATCACAGTCAGTCAGCACATCACATTCAGTATGTCACATCAGTCAGTACATCACATCAGGACATCACATCACACTCAGTATGTCACATTATCCCATCACATTATCTTATCACAGTCAGTCAGCCAGCACATCGCACTCAGTACATCACATCACAGTCAGTACATCACGTCATCACATCAGGACATCACACTCAGTATGTCACATCATCACATCAGTCAGTACATCACATCTTATCACAGTCAGTTCATCAAATCACACTCAGTATGTGACATTATCACATCACAGTCAGTCATCACAACATAGTCAGGATGTCACATCATATCTTATCCCAGTACATCAGTCAGTTCGTCACACTAAGTACGTCACTTCACATTATCACATCACGGGCAGTACATCACATCACAGTCATGAGAATGTCACTCTCCCCATGTATTTCCAAAGGACCCGAACGTCATGCTGATTTTTCACTATTTACTGCAGATATGAAGTTGAGATGTGAAGTACTGATGACTGTCGTCAGGCTGATCTTAAAGCTCATCAGCTGAAATGTGTTTTCTCAGGTTACAAAGGAAATCAGCTGACAGGAAGAAGTTTTCTCCGTCCAATGAGGAGAAATGGAACCTGGTGCCAAAGATCTGTCGGGTTTCAAAGAAGATCACGCCGTTACGCGGAGCGCGATGAACCGACGCGAGGCCAAGCTCTCTTCAGATGTTCGACTGCAGTTTTATACTCGTTTTTATATCATTGCCTTTAAACACTATGCCAATTATTTAATGTAGTTTTATTTTTACATTTTTCTAGAATTCTCTGTATGTCTCGCGACTTCAGCGCTGCGTTTCTTGCTGGATTTGTCTTGCGACACTTTAATAAATTGTGATAATTGTTGTATTTTGTCATTTATCAAATGAACAAAAAGATCTAAAACACTTGACTTTTTAACATTAATTTCAATCAATAATAAGATAAGATCATCTTTTCAAGAAAATAGAATGTCAGAGGTCAATTCTGGGTTTGTTTATACATCAGTGATTGACGGGTTATATAATGACTAATTTATCTATCAGGTAAAAGCAGCAGAGCTATATATATAAATGCAAAGTGATCATTTGGAAACTCTTACCTATAGAAGCTATTTCCACTACAGGAATAAAAAAATTAAACCACAATTTTGACATTTTCTCACAATTCTAAGAAGAAGAAAAAAAAAAAGATTTTAAGTATTTTTTTTCTCTCCGAATTGCAAGAAAAAAAGCAATAACAGACAAAAGTCTGAACTGTGGAATTAAAAAAAAAAACTTTTTAATTCGTCTTTTTTCTTTGTCATTGGTTTCTCAAATAAAACTTGTAATAAATGGTAAGAGAAACACAACTGAGTTTAACATCTTTCAGAAATAAATGGTTTCAGCAAAGGCAGGTTTGTGAACACTGATTTGTCTTTTTTATTTTTAGTGTTTTAAAACATGGTGAAAATGAGCTACTAGACAGAAGCCTGTATGTTGAGGGTCATGAAAAGAATGACATTTTTAATAGAAAAACAAGACAACATCCATCCTTTTAAAACATATGTATATTTTCAGTTGTATAATGCGTACATATTCTTCTCATTTAAATAATCTAAATACAATCTGTGATGTTTCATTGACAATTTACAACAGCTTGTGACGTCTGAAGTCCAGGATCACGAGGTCCAGAACCCAACCAGAGCTAAGCAACAATAATCCAGGAAATAAATAGTGCGCAGATGAACTGAAGAGGTGATGTGTGTACAGTTTTGGCCTTTCATACGTGACATGACGACACATGGCTGTTCCCACATCAGCATAAAGAGGCTTCTGTGTTTCTCAGGTCTGAAACACGAGACACACGACATTCACATCAGAGTGTTTGCTTCTGGAGAAGCGCATCACTGACATTTTTAATAGAAAAACAAGACAACATCCATCCTTTTAAAACATATGTATATTTTCAGTTGTATAATGCGTACATATTCTTCTCATTTAAATAATCTAAATACAATCTGTGATGTTTCATTGACAATTTACAACAGCTTGTGACGTCTGAAGTCCAGGATTACGAGGTCCAGAACCCAACCAGAGCTAAGCAACAATAATCCAGGAAATAAATAGTGCGCAGATGAACTGAAGAGGTGCTGTGTGTACAGTTTTGGCCTTTCATACGTGACATGACGACACATGGCTGTTCCCACATCAGCATAAAGAGGCTTCTGTGTTTCTCAGGTCTGAAACACGAGACACACGACATTCACATCAGAGTGTTTGCTTCTGGAGAAGCGCATCACTTCCTGCTGTCCGTCATCAGATCCAGCTCCTGATCGAACCACACACTCGTTACTGTACGGAGGCTCAAACCAATGGCTCTGAAACCATTCTGTGATAGTTACACACAAGTCCAGGTCATATTTCACCCCAAAATCAACAGAAAATCAAAAGTCTATTTTTAGGACCATTAACATTTTGTCAAATAAAAGTGCATTTATGCAAAAAAAAGCCGATTTATTTGCATAAATTATATTAAATATATTAAAATGTATTAAAAAAAAGTATTAATTTTTTGAATAAATTATATATATATAAATATATTCAGTGTACATTTTATACTACATATAAAATGTATCCAAATTTATATATATATATATTTTTTTTAATTAATTCCCCCCCCTCCTTAACTCTTTATTATACAAATATGTAAAATATGATGCATGCAAAAATTTATTTACTCAAAATAATTTTTGGCATATATATATTTATGCAAATAAATTAATACGCAAAAAAGTGCAAAAAATAAATATAACATTTTTTTGGACTTTTTTTTGTTGCATGAATATAATTATGAAAACCATGTGTTGAGTTTTGGACATTATAACAAATTTTTTTTTCATGATTTTAATTATCATGAAAATAATGTCTAAAATGGGAGTGAAATATGACTGTTCTTCATATGCATGAAACAAAAGCGACATTTATTGTCACGATGGTCATCATCAATCCTGTGACATCAGCAGGAAGGGGCGTGTCCGAGTCAATAAAGCACCGATGTAGCATCAACGATGTCGTTTCCCTGGAAACCTTCAGTTCCAAAAACCAATAAAAAATTAAATATGCAAATCCCAGAACCCCAGTGAGAGCGATCATGATTGAGTGTATTTGGTTCAGAAGATTCTCTTAAATCTCATCTATTATGTACAGCAGGTGTTGCTCTCGTCGTGTCTCTCTCACACACACACACACACACACACACACACACACCTGAGCACACAGAGGAGGGGCTGCAAGGCATTATGGGATGTCTGAGAGACACCGGGTCCAGCGTGTCTCATGAGGTGTGTGATGGAGGCGAGTCTCAGGCTCCAGTGATTCGTGTCATGTGACGTTGACCTCCATCAGGTGAAGGTCAGCGGCGGGCAGCACTAACACCTGCTGGCCCTGTGTGCCGCTGAACACCTGTCCGGGGCCGAAAGCCTGGCGTTTGGGCATCGGGCCCCGTGGCTGCGCAGACTCCCCGCTGCCCAGAGACTGGACACTGCCTCGGCTGCGCAGACTCGCCGTCTCCGCCTGATCCTCCAGAGACAGACTGTCGTTCTCCAGACACGAGTCTGCGGAGCACAGAGAGTCATGACTCATATGAACCAGAACCGACTCAACGAACCGATTCACTGAACAATCAGCTGAAACAACTCTTCACCGCAAACCGCCAAAATATTAGTAAAACACTTTAAAAAGGCAGTGTTTTGCTGTGAAGGAATTGTATTTTCTTTTGGTTATCTGTTTAGAGATTGATTAAACGGTTCAGGTTTTATGAATGCAGTGAGTTTAATGAATGATGAATCGAGCAGAAGTGAGTCCAAACGAACCAACGCAGGAAAATGAATCCGAATTGAGATTAGTTTCCCCGATGCAGTACATTTCCTCAAAGTTCTTCACTACAAACCAGACGAAATTGACTAAATTATGATTATACAAAATTAAAATTATGATTATAAAAAGTAAAGCTACTTAAATTAATAATAATAACAACATTTATTAAAATATCATATTGAATATCAGTCAAATATACTTTCTTTCACATTTTATTTATATAGTAAACCTCTGTTGTGCAGCACTTAATAATAATAAAAAATAAACGGTAATAATAAATTAATAAAAATACTTGGTTGTAAAGGAATTGTTGTATTTTCATTTGATTAGATATTAAAAGATTGCTCAAACTTTTGAATAAAAACAACCAAAAATCTAACATTTGGGGCAAAAGCTACATTATATTAAAATGTATTAATTTAAGTTGTTTTTAAATAATGAAACAAACCTTTAAATAGCAATTAATTGACATTTTAAAATAATTTTAAAATCAAATGCACTTATATTATTTGTTTACAAATCAATGCAAAAAAAAAAAAGAAGCTAAAAACAAACAAAAGATATTTTAAAAAACATTAAATATATATTTTTTTAAAAATCTTTATATAAAAAAAAATATATATATTTTTTATTTTATTTTTTATTTATTTATTTATTTTTAAATATGTATATCAATTTGAAATGAAGATATGTTTTTTTTTCCATGGCATAAAATCAAAGGTCATCAAAGGTCAACTTTGGGCATCTCTGGATTCATTCCTAACGTTTGCAGAGTTTGATTATTCTCATCACTTCTGCTGATGATCGCGAGCTCTAGACAGAAGCACAGAAGCACAGAAGTACAGAGTCCGGCTCCTGACCGGTGTCCGGCTGGATGACGGGGCTGGTGAGGCGCGGCTGGTACTTGAACACACGGATGCTGGGGACGAGCAGGTGACCCGCGAACAGAGGCATGACCTCCATGTGAACCTTGTGTGTCGCCATGGCAGCCACCGGCATGGAGACGACCCCTGAACTCTTCCCGCACACCGCCCAGTTACTGCTGTTGTCCATCACTGCAGACACACACACACACACACACACACATCAGCATCTCAATTATTAATACAAGCAAAGCCAAACACTGAAGCAAAACATACTTGCATTTTACAATTTTACAACACTTCAGACATTTTTCAGCCTAGCTCTGGAGGAGTCTGTACCTTCATACAGGAGTCTGCTGCTGCGCAGGCCGTCTGTCTCGCTGTACTCCTCGTCCGAGTCGCTGGCTTCAGAGAGACGCGTCAGAGACACCTCCAGCCTGCAGAGAGAACCGGTGCAACACTGCTGCTCTCCCTCCGCCGGCCGGATCTCTGCTCGCACGCTGTACAGCGTCTGACACACACACACGCACACACACACACGCACGCACACACACGTCAGGATCACACACACACACACACGGCTCATCAGATCCGGCTGACACTCACTGAAACTCGTTCCAGAGTGAAGTCGTATCTGTAGGGTTTGAGTGCCGCGTCCGGAGCGTCTGCAGGAGCGAAAGCGGCCGAGAACTCGCAGTGCACAGAGACGGGCAACACACCGCTCCACCGCAGCTCCCACACGCTGAACACACACTGCTGCCTGAAGACCAGCTGCACACACACACACACACACACACACACAAGACACAAGTGTGTGTGTGAGACTCACGCTGTGTGTTTTAGTGTTGAGAGAGCACAGCTCCAGTGACGGTGAGTGTTGATTCTCAGTCAGCGTCTGATTGGTCAGGCGAAAGTTAGTGTCTGATACATTCCGAAGACAAACCTGGATGAACTTCCTGTTGGGATAAAATCACACAGGAAACACATCAAACCATCTGTTACTACAGTATCACTGTAAGAGTGTGAGAGGTCACGAGGGGTCGTGAGGGGTCAGTACCTCCGTCCTGCAGACAGCAGCGAGTGTTTGATTGTGAAGGGCACGTGGAAGGTCAGAGAGACCAGCGTGGAGTAAATGGACCAGGGACAGTCGACAGACACCTGAAACACACACAACATTTTTATATTTTGTCTAGATAGAATTTCTTTATTATTATTATTATGATAAATATTAATGTTCTATTGTTCTGCGAGCGTGTCGAACCTTCTGGTCGATGAGGGTCATGCCGCTGTTGAAGCGCGTTCGGCTGCGGCGACTGATCTGTCCGTTAGTGAGGCGCTCGCTCTCCATCCGCGCAGGGCATGATGGGATATGACACAGAACCTCCAGCAGGAACTCCAGCGTGTGATACGGCGGCGTCACCGGAAGAGAGATGCTCGTCACCTTCTCAGACGACTGGATGGACAGAGCGCTTTCAGCCAGCAGCTCTGATCAACAACACAGCACATCCCAAGAAGAAATTAACACTTCTATCCATCACGGACGCATTCAATTGATTAAAAGTGACAGTAAAGACATTTATAATGTGACATGATCACAGGAATAAATGACAGTTTAACAGATATTCGCATAGAAAACAGCGGTTTTAAATTAAAATAATATTTCACAATTTTTACTGTATTTTTGATCAAATAAATGCAGCTTTGGTGAGCAAAAGAGACTTTCATTATTTTAAACTTTTGACTGATAGTGTATATATGTGTATATGTGCATATATAAAATAATATATACATTATATATAAAGCCTAACACTAACCATATATATACACATATATATTTACTGTATATACACAGACACACACACACAGTATAAACAATTTGATATAATATATATTATATTTTTACTCTTATTTTTATAATCTTTCTTTCTGTGTACTGGAATCAAAAACATTTTTAATCATTTACTTTAAAATGTATTTATATATTTTATATGTATTATATATTTTATTACAAAATGCATTTATATATTTTTTTATTATTATTTAATACATAATTCAATTGATTAAAAGTGACAGTAAAGACATTTATAATGTGACATGATCACAGGAATAAATGACAGTTTAACAGATATTCGCATAGAAAACAGCGGTTTTAAATTAAAATAATATTTCACAATTTTTACTGTATTTTTGATCAAATAAATGCAGCTTTGGTGAGCAAAAGAGACTTTCATTATTTTAAACTTTTGACTGATAGTGTATATATGTGTATATGTGCATATATAAAATAATATATACATTATATATAAAGCCTAACACTAACCATATATATACACATATATATTTACTGTATATACACAGACACACACACACAGTATAAACAATTTGATATAATATATATTATATTTTTACTCTTATTTTTATAATCTTTCTTTCTGTGTACTGGAATCAAAAACATTTTTAATCATTTACTTTAAAATGTATTTATATATTTTATATGTATTATATATTTTATTACAAAATGCATTTATATATTTTTTTATTATTATTTAATACATGTTTAGTAAGCGTTTTATTTTGATTGTTAATTATTTATTGTAATTTTATATTTGTATGATTAATAATAAATATAAAATATAAAAATCTGTAAAAATTTGTAATTTTTTAATATTATTTTTATTTAATATATTTTTATTATCTGTGCACTGAAAGCTTCTTCTGTCAGCAAGCCAAGTTCCCTGTGTGTTTTGGTAATGTACCTGATTGTGGTGTGTGTCTCTCACCTGCGCTGCTGCTGAGGATGCGGGCGCTGCATGTGGACGAGTGCAGCACAGGCATGGAGTCAGTGTTACTGAGCTGAAGAGCGTCGCCCTTCTTCACCGAATAGTGACCCGTCAGGATAGTGAACTTCACCTGCTGCGGCAGACCGGCCAACAGGTGCTCTGAGACAACAACACACGTCAGGTGAGCCTGAGATACTGCAGATGAACACTCACTCACTCACTCACTCACTCACTCACTCACTCACTCACTCTCTCACTCTCACACACACACACACACACACACACGCACACACACACAC